ATCTCTCAGCTCATGATCTCATCCTTCGAATGCTCTCTCTGAGATTCCGCTGGGTAGCATTTCCCGAAAAAACAAGCAACAATTAATGAGATGGAAAAGAAATCCAAACAGCGTATTTTGCGCACCCAAATTAAAAATCCTTTACGAGGAAAAACATGACTCTTTCCATGCATTGCTTGCGTGATATTACGTGTCGTGAGATAATGACGAGGCAATGCAATTCTGCAAGTATGGAACTCTTGGTTCAGGGAATATAGCAGCAGCGGACAAGTTCAGCGGTGGATAAAAATTCTTTATTTGTTGTCTGCACGGCTCTGTCATGTTCAATAAGGTCGACCGATGACAATATGCATAGGTCATCACTACTCGAAACAAGATTTTTATCAGGCTTTCTTTTCAACTATTACTCAAATGGAAGTTCACCCGTCTGGATCATTTAAACAGAGTTAATAGAGGGAACAAGTCGTTCATAGAGTTCTGCGAGCGTACGAAGAGTTTGAAATCCATCGGTGATTGGTGTGTGAGGCTCTTAGAGGACAGAAAGCTCTTCAAGAAAATGGTGGAGCCATGCTTGGTTCCGGAGGTGGAGATTATAGTGGACGATAGCCTTGGTTTCACAGTTAAAGTGTTTGGTTCGTACTTCGTCGATGACCATCCCTTATACCTCAAATATCACCGCACAATGTGCAATGTGGCTTTCAAATTTAGTAAAGGATTTAGAAACCATGAAGCTGTGCACTGGAGTTAATCCCATGAAACTGACTACCAAGCTATTTCATCATGTAGTCCCAGTGAATCATGACTGTATGGGGGAGGAAGAAGAGCAGCAGCAATTTCCTCACAAGGGCTTCTGGAGAGTAAAGAAGTGTTTGCTTTTCAACCAAGCTGATGGAATTTTCCCAGCATGTCAGGAGTTTAATGTGTACACAGAAAAGACAAGGAAAGCAAAGGAGAGTACATGTAGATCAATAAAGCCAGCCCATGTTAATGCTCCTCTGTCCAGAACTGATCCAGAACGAATAAAACTTGCTTTACAGGGACAGCGGTTGAAGCGTGCACAGCTTGAACAGCAGCTCACAGAAATGCGTGCAGAATTACTGAAATCAAGTGTGGAGACTGACCATAAATTGAATGACAATTTTACCCAGATTCTTGATTCAGCTGGCAACGGAAGTGACCCCTTTTATGAAAATCTTCTAGCAGGAGCAAAAGAGGCTATTTGCAACAACTAAGACAGGTGTGCGTTATCATCCAATGATAATAAGGTTTTGTTTATCTCTTGCATCGAAATCACCCTCATGCTAGGAGGAACTCAGTAACAGCGGAGTGTTGGTTCTTCCGAGCCAGCGGACTACCACAATGCTATAAAACCAGAGGGGTTTCCAGAAGGAAGTGTTGGATGTTCTTATAGCAGAGACCGAGCATTACTTTGATGTCCAGCGATACGTGGTTCTCTTATTTGATAAGATGAAAGTGATGGCTAACCTTGTTCTGGATAAGACAATCGGAGAACTGATAGGATTTATGGACTTTGGGGACCCTGATTTAAACTTTGCGGTGTTAAAGAAAGTTGATGCTGTTGCATCACATGCTTTAGCATTTCTTTTCCGTGGTGTCAGCACTGAACTCAAGTTTGAATTAGCTCACTTTGCAAATTCAGGTATTACTGCTGCTCAATTAATGCCTATATTCTGGGAGGCAGTTGGTATTCTTGAAACAACCTGCAATCTATGGTTCATTGCTGCAGCTTCAGACGATGCTTCCCCAAACAGGCGCTTCTATCGTTTGCACAGTGATCTTGATGGGAATGCTGACAGCGATGTATGCTATCGGATGGTCAATTTCTTTGCACATCGATTCATCTACTTCTTGTCAGATGCACCACACCTTGTTAAGACCACAAGGAACTGTCTGAAAAGCTCAGGCTCAGGATCTTGTACAAGGTATATGAGGAACAATGGGAAATATGTGCTGTGGCAGCACGTTACTGCACTGTATTATGAGGATGTCGACAATGGGCTCAAATTACTACCCAGACTGACATATGAACGCATCAACTTGAATGCATATTCAGTGATGCGAGGGAATCTTGCGGCTCAAGTGCTGACTGCTTCTGTTGTAAGTGTGCTAAAGGCTTTTGCTCCACCAGAGGCTTCTGCCACAGCCAAACTCTGCGAGATGGTGGATGGCTTCTTTGACTGCCTCAACGTCCGAAGTAAGACTAAGCATGTGATGAAGCGCAAGCCATTCCTTGCTCCTTATACCTCTCCTGATGACAGAAGGTATTTTTTTCACTAAATTTGGATCAATGATGTCAGTTTTTCATATGCCTGTTATCTATTAACTCTGCTGTTATTGATCATGAATTTCGTAATAACATTGTCAAAGTAGCTGTGGATCCTCAAGGAGATAACTGAGTGGATGGGCAGACTACTTGACAATGTTATGATGAAATTCATCGTCAATAACAGGACAGACACATTAAAAACTGACATCAATT